CTGACAGCAGGGATGACTTATTGTTAGGACACTGGTGGGTACCAGATCTTTAACAGATGACTTATCCCTGTTGACTGACAGCAGGATGAGTCATTGGTTGTTAGGAGACTGACAGGTGTCGGCTCCCAACAACCAGCACAAAACTCTCCAAACAAAACGCATGACAAAATGCACTAAAACACACGAATCACATGTTTCAATGCAATTCTATTGAGAACAAAAAAAAACTCTTCAAAAATGCACCAATCTGCCTGAATTGAGCTACAAAAATGTTTTGAAGTTCAAGCATTTAGCTTCAAGGACTTGGAGATATGAACCATCTCCATATATAAGAATTGATTTTTTTTTTCTCCCTGAGCATTTTGGAGCTCAGGTGAGAATGGGGCTTAACGCTCTGTTGACATATGGGTGTTTTGAATCGCAAGCAGAATCGCTGTGGTTCTGCCCATGATTTTGAAACTGCTAAAATGACAAATCACATTCATTTTAATGGCACCTGAAAACAAGGTGTGGCTCTGCTGCGATTGTCAGGCAATAAATTATGTTGCAATCGCAGCAAACTGCATTGCATGCCTTGTGGTGTCCAAAAAAAGCAGTTTCTGAGCTTCTTTTGGGTGAATTGTGTTGTGCAAAGCAGTTTGCCGCTATTGCAGAACGACAGGCGCAGCAGAAAAGCATAGCATTTTTAGGTGCTATTAAAATGAATGGCACCTGAACAAGCAGTTCTATGGTTTGTCATTTTGGCAGAGCGTTTTGAAATTGCGGGTAGAATTGTGGCGATTCTTCCTGTGATTAAAAAAGGCCTATTGTGCATGAAGCCTAAAGAAGGTGTCAGGGGACACAAGGTTTGGAGCCTATTCTTCGTGAAGGCAGTTGGATCTTGCCCTATGCCACCTCCAGTAAACCCAGAATACATAAAAAAAATGTTCCTCTAACTGCTATTCTCGTTATTCTCCACTCAGGATTCCAGGGAATAGATGTGGAAAAACAGGAATTGTGTGTAAAAGCAAAAAAAAAGTTTAATGAGTGTAATATGATTTCATGTCAGCATGCAAAGCTGCATGTTGAGATTTTTAGTATTTGGAGGGGGGGCTATCGATTCTAAAGGGGGCCTGTTATGCAGCAAACAAACTGTAGCCTGAAAGGTTTACTTTCAGGACACTCAGGCTCACCCATAGTATTGAGCAAACACCACAGAGGCAAAATAGACTAGATTAGGCTCTAAACAAACAGCAAAGTATGCTAAAACCTTTACTACTGAAAAAAAACCCTTTACAGTGTCTAGCTTCCATGCTTTAACATTTTTATATCTATTATTAAGGTGTGCTTTACCAAAGCACAAATTCCATTTTAAATGCATGACAATGTATACAATTACGTCTCATAATACGACTGCCCGCTGTACAACTTTCATAGTAAAACACAGCTAGGCTTCCATGCAGGATCACTGTTCACATGCTTGACATATAGATGACAAATATGTACAGACAGACACAGTAGTATTTGTATTGCAGGAAGGAGCTTATAATACATGCTCATATCCCTGCAGGGAAGAAAGCATGTTCCATTTCTTATTAAACCCACCCAAATACACCAGATACGCCACAGGGCTTCTTCTCCCGGTCAGAGAAAAAACTCCCAAATCCAGGGAGTCGGCCAGACCACCCAGTAATACCAGTTCTTGTGCCAGGGGCGAGTGTTTAGCAATAACTGGAACCAGTCAGATTGCACCGCTGGCTTTATATGGAGAAAAAACGCCGTGACGTTCCAGGGACGTGTGTGTTTCCAGCAGCTGCTCACTCAGCTGTGTGACTCTGTACCCAGCCCAGTCAGAGAGCTGCACAGCATTACAACTGTAGCCAGAGAAAAAGCAGTCAAACACCAGCAGCTATAGCCAGCGGAGAATCAGTGGTGGCTAAGGTGGCTACTTAGAAGCCCAAATGCTCACCCAATATTTAACCACAAGCATGCTGCATAGGCTGAAAGAATGAAAAAGATTGCCACAGCTTGACAATGCAAGCCATACTAAAAGACTGCTCCATTTACAGCTGTGGGACTAAATCAATGCCATCATCTGTGTTATGGCCAAAGGATTTCTGCAAAAATGGCTCGTTAGTTTCAGGTCATTGCATAAACAAGTCAGTGGCTATGAGTGTGTGTGTATATGTATGTATTTCCTTAGGGAAATGGGGACTTATGTGAATGAATGTCTACAGCACTGCAAATACTGCAAAGGCTATATAATTACAGAAAAGAAATCACTACACAGATTCACATCATTACAGAGATAAAGGGCAATCATACGTGTTTCTAAGAATTGGAAGATAAAAAATTCAAACATCATAAAAAATGAACATAAAATTGAGAAATGTAACTGTGAAATAGGAGATTTCTACAACACATACAGTTCTGCTGTTGACCCCACCCATAGACATAATGGAGTGGCTGGACACTGGGAAATGAATCCACTGAAGACGTCCCACTCTCGACAGTTGCACACACTTTCCTATGACAGAGTGCAGATGCTACAACCATTCCATGTTTTTCATATATGAAGGCCAATGGGAAGAAACACTCCAAACTTTCTCATCCATTTCTCATCTGGTGGAGCTAACCGAGGAGGTATATGTTGCAATCCTTTCTAGCCCTACATGATCCACAATAATCATAGGAATAAGCATCTTTGAAGGCAGGATTGCCTTTGTACTCTGCCCAGACATCAAATCTTTTTGCAAGTATACTAGTAAACATCTTAAAAGTAATATTAAAAGTTTGTTTTTTTTTCTTTAAAATAAAACATACTTACCTGCTCTGTGCAATGGTATTTTTTTACCTTAATGCATAGAATTGCCTAGGCGATCAGAAGCGGAAGTGGTCCTCCCTCCCTCCCTGTAGTCTTCTGGGACACGTGACAGGTCCCAGAAGACTATGGGGCCATTCACAAAGCACAGCACTTCTCGAGCATGTGCAGTGGGCACCCGGCTGTGAAGCTGCAAACTATCACAGCTGGGTGCCCACACTAAAGATGTCAGCGCCAGGGAGAGAAGACGGCCGGTGAAACCAGCGGTGGTGAGGTCACCACTGGACCGAGGGACAGGTAAGTGGCTGTATTTTAAAAGTCAGCAGCTACAGTTTTTGTAGCTGCTGACTTTTCTTTCAGCTGGAACTCTGCTTTAAGTAAATGCAGCCCGACTCCAGACAAAATCATGTATATATACGTGATTTCGCATTTCAGGGTAGGGGTTGCCCTACCCGAGCCACCATTTGCGGCTACAGATGTCGATCACCAGGTCCCGTCTGGAGATTCCCTGCCGGCACCTGGTGATCGCAGGGTATCACTGACCAGGGAGAGACCTGTATGTAAACTACACAGGTCTCTCCTGCCAGCAGTAACCTGCTGCTGTGTATTTCACAGCAGTATGTTTCCCAAGTAAAACACACACAAAAAAACAGCACACAGTTAACTCTTTGATCGCTCCAGATGTTAACCCCTTACTGCCCAGTGTCATTAGTTCTTTTTATTAGCACTGATCACTGTTTCAGTGTCATTAGGATGTCAGTGGGAGTTAGTTCCCCTCCAGTGTCAGAATGCCCGCCGCAGTCCTGCTATAAGTTGCTGATTGCCGCCATTACTAATAAATAAATATATACATATATACATATATATATATATATATATATATCTATCTATCTAGTATATATACCACCATTTGTAGACGCTATAATTTTCACGTAAACCAATTCATTTACATGTATTGGGATTATTTTTTTTTGCAAAAACATATAGCAGAATACATTTTGGCCTAAATTTATGAAGAAATTTGATTTTTTAAATTTGTTTTACTGGATAAGTTTTCTAGCAAAAAAAAAAAAAATTTATTTTTTTTTTCAAAATGGTCGGTCTTTTTTTGTTTAATAAAAAACGCACAGGTGATCAAATACAGCCAAAAGAAAGCTTTATCTGTGGGGAAAAAAGGACATACATTTAATTTATGTACAGCGTTGCATGACCGCGCAAAGTAACACAGCACCGTATAGCAAAAAATGGCCTGGTCATTAAGGGGGGGGGGGGGGGGGGGGAATCCTCTGGAGGACAAGTAGTTAAAAAGCCTCTATATTGGCTGTTTCCAAAGCACTGGCCAAGTAAATTAAATAGCTGCCTAGCATTAAAACTGAGCAGCTGATACGCTTCAAAGTTAAAGCTTATAAAGTGCATCAAACCCTTATGGAAGACCTGCTCCCATTTCCTACCTATAAGAGGTATGACGAGAATGTAAATCTGAGATGTGAGAAGCTGCTCCAGGCCTGGAAGATGGTTGATAAAGCCATTGGTATCAGGAACAAGAAACAAGGGGCGGATTTCCAACTCCAGGGGTCTTGTCTTGCCATCCAGAACTGCCTACAAAAGAAAAAACATTACACATTTACAGATATAATTTAGGCAAAAATATGCTCCAGTTATTTAATCATCTAAAATGTAACTCCCTTCCCAGAAAATATAGTAGAAAAACAAATTCTTAAAGTAACAGTCAGATTAAAACATTCCTAGTTAGCTGCCACTTGTATTTCTTTTTTTGCTAAAACTGCAGCAGTATCTTCATTTCCTTATTGCTAAAAGTTGCTATTTACCATTTTTGCATTTTTATTAAGCAACTAAAGCTAACCATACATGGATTGAATTTCGTCTGATTCCTGCTGAATCATCTGAAATTTGAGCCGTGGGTGGCACTGCAGAAAACACCCAGCTCTACAAAAGCCAAATTAAAAATCGGGCTGAGCAGGGAGGAACATTATCAAACAAGCAGTAACTGAATCCTTTCAGATGCAGTCGCTGTTTGAGCAGACAGACAGCCGTGGGTGCTGCTCTGTCTGAACACAAAAACTGACATTGGAGATTCCTCCATCCATGCCGTTTTTACAGTGGGTAGAGAAATCCATTAAATAGAAATGTAAAGGTGTCTGGCTAGCCTTAGAAGTACCTGCATTGGAGATGAGAAATTTTAAAGTGGTCCTAAAGGCTCAAGGTTTTTTACCTTCGTGCATTCTATGCATGAAGATAAAAAAAACCTTCTGTGTGCAGCAGCCCCCCCAGCCCCCCTAATACTCACCTAAGGCCCCTCTCGATCCAGCGATGTGCACTGGAGTCTCGGCTATCCCGGGACTCCCTCTTCTCATTGGTTGAAACAGAAGCAGGAGCCATTGGCTCCTACTGCTGTCAGTCACAGCCAGTGAGCCAATGAGAAGAGAGAGGGGGCATGGCCGAGCCACTGCTCTATGTGTGAATGGACACAAGGAGCAGCGGGTGCCTCCATAGCAAGCTGCTTGCTGTGGGGGCACCTGACAGAAGGGAGGGGACAGGAGAGCCTGCCTGCGGGGGGGGGGGACCAGAGAAAAGAAGGATCCAGGCTGCTCTGTGCAAAACCAATGCACACAGCAGGTAAGTATAGACATGCTTGTGTTATTTTTTCTTAATAAAAAATAAACCTTTAGAATCACTTTAATGCACCTGACATCAAGTTGCTAATCAATACATTTCATGGACAAGGTGAAACCATAGCCTACTGTGCAATTTCTGCAATGGCTAGTTATGTGTCTAACCAGCAGAGGAAGGAAACTGGTGAAGATAAAGACTACAATTTACATTACATGCCCCACAGGGTGCCTTACCCAGCAGACCCATGGCCCCGTCTCTCAAAGCAACAAAATATGAACCGTTACTTGTATGCTTTGGATAGTACAATAAAATGTCTATTGTAAGACCTCTATAATTTTGCAAAATCATATGCATGGTGGTCTTTTGAAAAAAGGATTAAAATATGCAATGCAGTAATAAAAGGATGTCTAGTGTCTATTTTTTTTCTTGAAACCCTCTTGTAATTTTGCAGCACACAATGATGCATAACATTGGTGAACAAATATCTATTTTACAATGAGAAAAGTAAAGCTCTTAGGCAGGAAACAACACAATTCAACCCAAACATTCAATTAATCACTTGTAGATCATTTAAAATAGCTGACAGCCTAGACGCCAATTAACCCTTTTAGATACACTTGGGCAATTTTATTTATCTTATGATTAACCATCTTGGGTGAGATTTTTTTTTTTACATTTTTTTAATTTTTTTTAACAAGGTCACAAAAATGACACTGATGCTGAAAACAAAATCTGAAACACATTTTTATTTGGTCCATTTGGCTTGACTTGCTACCTAGCAACTGGTAAGCAAATTCGGTAATATCTACAATCAAGGGCGGGGGCGGTAATACAATCAAACCCTCTCCACACTAAAAAGTTGGAGCTCTGGGGCGTCTTTGAACAGGCTGTGACTGTCTGCACGTCCCCTCTGCAGGATGCACAGACCGACACCGAGGTCACCTCATCCCGAGCCAAGAACAAGGAGCTGTAGGAACAGAGTTTGGACGGCGGGTGGTAAAGGGAAGCAGTGCAGTCATAGGGTAGCAGGGCAGTCGGGAAGTCTGTGGCATTTCTTCTCCTGCAGGGTATTGTGTTATAAATAGCCCAGGACTTCCTACTCCACAGGTTCATAAGTATACAGTATCCTGTACTACCGGCGGCTAGTTCTGCCCTGTGAAAATGACAGCTCTGTATCACTGCCTTTTCCAGGAACACATGCTCTTACTAAAAGGAAGAAAGCACTTCAAATTCATAAAAATCACAGCTCACAAATATCTACGTGGTCATCTTTTTTGCAGAACAAGGGTGGGTACAATATAGATGACGTCCCTGATGCCTAAAATCTAATGCTAAGTATTTTCACAAAAGTAATAAGTTCCCAAATTACTTTTACAACTGCAATCCGTTAAACCATTTGTGTCTCTAGAGATTGCTGTTGGCCACTAATGAAATTTTACATTCTCTTTGTGGCCTAGGAACAAAAAGCACACAGTCCAGGCTGTGTCTAGACTTGAACAGTTCTCAAAGGACAGGTCTCCTCCAGAAAACTGAGACAGAACCTGGAAGACTGTATGGGCACCCACAAACAGCCAGGAATCAGAGCTGTTTTATATGGTCATAGATTGCGCAATTTTTCATCTATACTGAGAAATATTAAAGTCCAACAATAGTCAGTTCAACTGATGCACAAAACAACCAAACTACCAATAAATTGAAGACTTTTGATCAACAGATTTTACAATTCAGTGGGAAATTATGATTACTGAATGACTGTCACCAAATGATGCTATCAATTTAAATGATTGGAATCATGATAACATCTGTCCAAAATCTGCTACATGACTAATATATTATGCTATATTTCTTTTGTTGGGAAAAAAAAGTATATTTCTTAGACTGCTTGAAAGTTATAGAGTTTACATACTATGGTATATTTTAAATATATCAGCCCTCATGTATTGACTGCCTATCTAATTTCTTAAGGCCCTAAAATGCCAGGACAGTACAAACACCCCAAAATGACCCATTTTTGGAATGTAGACACTCCAGGGTATTTAGTAAGTAGCATGGTGAGTTTCCTAAAGCTGTACATTTTTGTATGTCATACAAAAATACAATACTTTGGTAATAATAAAATCTGCATCCCAAAACACAAAGTATGGAGATACCACACGTATAAGATTTTTTTTTTTGCTGCTTAGACACATAGGGGCCCAAAATCCAAGCAGCACCTTCAGACAGACAAGTGAGTTTTTCTGCACCAGTTTCTGCAAGGGCACAAAGAAAACTATTCTCTACGTACCCTGTTCATACCACAACACTGGTATCCTGAGCGGATTTTTTCTGCACAGAAATCTGCAATGTGTATGTAAAAAAAACAAAACAAAAAAAAACTCAAGCAACATCAATATTGTGTGAAGAGGGCAATCAGAGAATAATTGGTCGCCCTTGCAGAGAATGTATGTGACATATTTATGCGCAGAAAAAAAAAAAAACTCAGGTGACAGAAGCATTATGGTGTGAACAGGGCACATGGAAAACCATTGCTTTGTGTCCTTGTAGAGACTTGCGTAATAAATACATGCATTTGAGCACATGGTGTGAACAAACCTATGCGAGTCAAATCCGTGTGTTTTTTCCATCAGATTTTTTTGCACATATGGCAGTGTGAATGAGGTCTCAGTCTTTCAAGGAGCATAAATAATGCATCTAATTTCCTGACTACCTATCACACTTCTTGAAGCACTAAGTGCCAGAACAGGAGTAAAATAAATAACCACATATTGCAAAGTAGGCCTTGCAACATATTTACTCATGGGCACAGTAATGTCTTTTGTCAGATTTTTGCCAAAAGATTTTGGAAAAAGAAAAAGAAACCGTATATTTTTTCAACACACAGCTGTCAATTAATTAGATAGTTCTCACACACAGTATTGGCATCCCTAGAATTGCACCTCAAATCTGCTACTCCTCTCAAATAAGGATACCATACTTTTTCAATGTTTTGGAACAATCAGTGAGAGGGGAAATCGAGTAGTGGCTGTCCTGTACCTCACTCTGTGTTCCTAGTGGATCGCTCCACAGCAGAATACAAAGACATGTATATAAACTCACTGGCCACTTTATAAAGGTAAACCAGTTCAATTGCTTGGTAATACAAATTGTTATTCAGCCAATCACATGGCAGCAACTAAATGCATTTAGGCATGTAGACATGGTGAAGACGACTTGCTGAAGTTCAAACAGAGCATCAGATTGGGGAAGAAAGGGTCTTTAAGTGACTTTGAATGTTGCATGGCTGCTGGTGCCAGACAGGCTGGTCTGAGTATTTAAAAAACTGCCGATCTACTGGGATTTTCACACACACAACCATCTCTAGGGTTTACAGAGAATGGTCCGAAAAAGATAAAATATCCAGTGAGCAGCAGTTGTGTGGACGAATATGCTTTGTTGATGCCAGAGGTCAGAGGAGAATGGGCAGATTGGTAGCTATGACATTCAGATGGTAGAGTCCGAATTTGGTGTAAATGAAATGAAAGCATGTATCCATTCTGCCTTGTATCAATGGTGGTGTAATGATGTGAGGGATATTTTCTTGAAACTAGCAAGGTGTACCTAATAAATTGGTCAGTGAGTGTATGTCTTCCGGCCCTCAGGAGTGAGCTGTCCAGCTGTTTGAGTACAACTGCCAGACAGCAAGTTGTTAAGAGTTATTAGATTGCCAAAAGAAAAAAAAAATACTCCATGCACACAAACAAGGTGGGTTAAGGAATACTCTGCCATTGTGTTTTATTCTCAGCCGGACCCGCTACTGTCTGAATACACCATGATCAGCAACTGCAAGAAAAGCTTTCCAGCATTTTCCTTTGAAAAAAGTCGATCAAACAATTGACTTCTGTCGAGCAGGGACGGCCACACACTTATTGAAATTTGGCCAGTCCCTGTTGACTTGCCTACATTTTGATTAGTGTATGTTCAGCTTTATTCTGGTTTTCCAAGAAAAATATCTTGGCAATGCAAGCTAAGCTAAGATCTAGTCATATGAGTGAATTGCTATGCTCGATATTGTCTCAGCAGATACAGTAGCCATCTGATCCCTATAGATTTCTGAATAATTAGGCTGAGGGACAGGGAGATGACAAAGCTTTACTGCTTATGTGCACAAAAAAACAAATCAAAACAAAAACTTAGGTCACCAGCTTGGCTAATGTGTGTAAATTTCAGAACAGGATGGACAGAAATATTTTTTTTCAGTTAAAACATTTCCCAGACTTGCATTCTAATGTATTTAGCTGTCTGTTTGGAGTTCAGAATTTACTATAACAATAAGATGTTTTATGTTTACAACTACTTTTTAAAAAAAAAAAAAAAAAAAAAAGACAAACAGATTAATCAGTTTACACAATACTATATAAATGAGTCAGGCAAAGAATTCAGTGAGCTTCAACAAACAAAGGTATACCCACTACTGTTCGGGACTGCTCCAGGACTATCAAGGTGGACTGTCGGGATCTTAGTTTCAGTATACTTCAATTAGGTGTATGAAAGGTGAATAACCAGGCTGGCTCTGGGCAGGCAGCCAATTGCTGAAGGGTACGCATGTGTGCTGGGTCCCAGAAGGGCTTTTACCGGAGCTGTATTACAAGTTGCTCGGCACAGATTGCAAGGTTTATGCATATGGTGAGACAGATGTGTCTGGCAAAGTTTCAAGACTACAAAATGAAGAATTATGGAAGTGTAGGGCCCTGGGCATTGGCAGAGGTGGGGGCAGGAAGATGGAGAACAAATATCTCTTCCCCTTTGGTATCAGTTAGTAGCTCATCTGGGAAAACAAGACACCATAAGCCTTTCTCCTTGTAAGCTCAGTTAAAACACTAAATAAACATCTGCACAGACAAGAGTGTGAGTTGTTTCTATACAACATAATGCACTAACATCTCACACTACGGCAACAGAACAAAAAAAAACCCCCCAAAAAAAAACAGATAAATTGTGGTTTCCATCACATACAGCCTCAATAAGATTAGATTTATCTATTGTGATTGTAGAATTACAGCAAACTATTCATGGTTTTTTTTGGTATGC